CAAAGGATCTGCAATATGCAATGGAAGTTGTGTCACTTTAACTTGAAAATGTAGTCACTGCCAAAGAGACCTTGTGTTATCTTCTTAACAATCAATTTAAATATGTTTTCTCAACTAGTTTGATTAGCAAAAATATTTTCTTGAATATCCTAATTTATGCATTGGAAATATTTATTCAAAGATCATTTTATGTTTAGCAGAGCAGGACATACATTTGTGTCTTTGGTGATCAGAAAATCAAAAATCTAGCTTTCATTGCATATTGCTCCCCAACAGTAGAACAATTGTTCCCTCTCAACTTTTAATTGGCTGGAAAGTAAACTTATATAACTAGTGTGTTATCTTATACATGGGTATGATACAGATACATATTAATATACTAGTCTCTACTATGGTGTGTTGGCCCAGCGATCCCCAAAATGTTTCTCACGTAACTGTTCATGGGTTTCTGTATCTATTCATGATGTTTGTCTTTTGTTGTGTTTATAATGTTGATATATCGTTTTTTGGTTTTAAAATCTCTGTAATGTTTGATTATTTGTCGTGTTTTATTTTTGTTCAGTAGTTGGTAAGGTTTCTGCAGGAAGTATAGAAAGAGTTTGGCCAGAGCATAAAAATGTTTTATTTTATATTTGTAATCAGTTTTGCAGAGCTAGTTATATATACTTCAAATAACTTATATTATTGCTTGATGCTGAAGTTTGATCAATGATCATTTGATTAAACCAGTCCAATACTGATCTGATTTGTTTGCACAAATGCAAAGGATGAAGAACGTGTGAGAAACTATAAATCAGGGTTAGGTTTGAATCAACATTTGGCATTGCTAAGCAATGTGTGAAAACATTGTAAAATTATGTTTTAGAGAAAATGAAACAAGGAGCTTCACAGGGCTGTTATGTCTAAACTCTTTCTATACATGTAGAAATATTTACCTCTCACCCCCTGGTCTACGGGTCTCATGTTGCTAGTAGCTAAGTATCTTAGCTAGCTGAATCCTGTTCCAATAGCTTGTGTGTGTAAAGAATAATAAATTATAGTTTGCTACATAAAAAACAGCAGCAGCCATGTTGACTGAGGGCCTCAGAGACTACGTTGCCCAGAGATCTATGGTGTGTTGTGTTATTATGATGATTGTGTTTACGACAATGCTAGGATGATGATCCTAAAATGATGATGATGAAGCATTTCCTGGTCAATATGCATTGATTTAAATAAAAACATATCACACTTATGTAAAATTTAAACAACAACCACCTATTCTTTCAAAAATGATCAATGGCAAAAAATAAAGAAGACAATATGCATCATAGGACATAAACTATGGTTAACGCTATTAATGTATAATAATAACATCATTGGATTTACACACCAAAATGGGGTCTAATAATATTTGCTAATAATATTAGTGATTTAGGGTCATTTCCCAACAACAGTGGATGGAAGAAAATGATTTGCAGTATACACATTTTGGGGTAAAAGAAAGTGTCAGAAAACATGATGTTTTAGATAGACAGAAGCAGAAATGGAATAAATACACAGCCTCAACTGATGGCATAAATCAGTGGTTATAACAGCTTTCTGTACACAGTCCTGTTTTCTTTGTCCCCTGCCCTCCATCTCCTCTCACCTTTTCTCTGTTTGTCATCGTCGCTGTCCTCCCCATCTCCTCTCACTTATCTTGTCTCAATTTATCTTTCTGTCGTCTCTTCTCCCTTCATTTTTCAGTCTTTTCTCTCATCTCTGCCCTTTTTGTCCTCCCCTCTGTCTGGTCTATTGTGTTTTTTTCCACTTTTCACCTCCCTCTATCTTCCTTCTTTTTCTCTGTGTTTTTCATCCTCATCGCCTGCTTTCTCTCCTCCCCCTGACATGCCCTCCATGTCTCTCAGTACTTTATTTTCCCCCCAAATCACTCTCTTGCTTCTATTTACCAACTTATCTCTCTTTCTTCTTCTCTTTCTCTCAGTCTGTTTCTCTGTCAGCGGAAGCGTATTAGGTTTATTTACATACAGCCTGTCACTTCTGCCACAGAGATATACTAATCCATAGCTGAGCCTAGGAACTGCATAAACACAGTGTTTTTGTGGTCACCGTTGATTGATTTTGGATCAGCCTCTGAAATACCAAATCCCTGGCCTTCATCACAGAAGGAGAAATTGAATCTGCCACGGAATCAGCATGAAAGCTTAACACAAAACTCACTGGTTCAGGAAAACTGACCACTTTCTATTAAGGCAAACACTGACACTCAGTGGTCAGAAATAGAATCACAATTTATTTCAGCTACCTATCGCCATCAATGTTTACTTCATCAGAAACTAAATTTTTCAGATCAGTGATCAGCTCCGTAGTATGAAAGCTTTTGATCAATTGTGTTCATCATAAAGGGAATGTCAGATTTATTCTAGAACATATTTAACGTACATTTGTCAGACAGACAGACAGGACATCCAAGTTTTCTGCTAATGTCTTTGCCGCCATTCGAATGAACAATTTTATGCTGCATTTAAACTTTAATTTCTAGTTTTATTTACATGTAGACATGTAAAACACTAGATCAAAGCCTGCAGCTGTTAATACACACTCATACAAGCACAATGCCAATGCCATACTCTACTGTAGGCTGGTACAGTCTAGTGCTGCTGGTGTATGTAGATATAGCCCTTCAAGAGGCAGAGCTATTGAATATTTGATCCCCATATGTCCAAGATGTGAATGTAACTCTGGACAAGAACGCCTTGCAGTGACAGGAAAAAGAGAGTAACAAGGGGAGAAAAATACAGAGAGAAAAGAATGAGCAGGGTTAAGAAGACAAGTCTGACAGCTGAGGAAGAGAGTGGCTAAAAAAGAGAGAGATGTATTTGAGGGTTTAACAAGGTAAAGAAGAGTGTCAGAGGGGAGAGACAGTGAGTCATATGTGCGTGCGTGTGTGTATGTGTGTGTGTGTTTGTGTGCAAAAGAAAGTCAGATAGAGTAAGTCTATAAAACATTGATACAGCTTTTCCTGCTGTGTTTTTGTTAAAGTGAGGCAGCTGGTAGCGAAGCTGTTCCACTTGACATCCGGTGATGCAGTGAAAAATTAAAAATGCTGGGTGATCTGTGACTTTAGACATCTAACTTATCATCATCATCATGTAATGTTGAAATGGTAGCATCCAGTAATGCCTCCAATGCTGCTGAAAATGCCACATCAGTAAGTAAGCTAATCTTTCAACTGATCCAATACCACATCTTTAAAGTGTATTACTTTCACTCACATAAATCTGCAATTTTCTTTTCCCAGAAATCACTTCTTCTTCCCCGCCTGAAAATAGCAGTTGCTCTGTAGTTGCAAATTGCAACACTAGTGCAACACAACGGTAGCAATCATCACTTCCATTCAGGGTTAGCAGCATACTGCTGTGAAATGATGTTACAGAAGTAGGTATTCTTTTATATACACTTGTATCAGATCAAAGCAAAAGCCAAGATAACAGAATCAGTGGCAGTGAGTGAATAATGGTATTGGAATATGTATTATCAGCACACACAAAGCAGCTGCTTTTATCACAAAAGATGAAAATCCACCTTTACTTGATTTGTTACGAAATCGAAGCAGTGAGGTTAAGAGAGAGAAACACATCTATTTGTAACTTTCTCACTTCTTTCTCTCCCTGTTTCTATTTCCAAATATAACATGATTTTACCAGATGTTTTAATCATATCTGGTACAGAATGGACTATTTAATAACACCCTACAATAACAGGTCTGAGCAACATACAATGTCGAAGCTCCTACTACAATATTATGCTGATCACTTTGCTGTCAAACTGCAGGCCTACTTGAATTGTGAATGATGGAAGGCAGAGCTCTCAGCTACCAGGCTCCTCTTCAGAGGAACCAGCTCCCAGTTTGGGTCTGATTTGATAAGGTTTACAGATAGAGCTGGTTCAGGTGAGCCCTGAGCAATCTCTTAGTTATGCTGCTACTGTCACAATGTAATAAACAGGTGGACCCAAAATGCAGAAGACAAGTTACGGACAAAAACAGGACAAAGGCAGGAAATCAAGCTGGAGACAAACAAGGAGCATAATTTAAAAAGAAAACAGAACTCTATGGAACAACCGAACACAAACCCACGGAAAGATAAGATAGTATCCATGATCTAAAATGCCCGTAAACAGAAACGTAAACTGTGTTTCAGAGTTTTGGGTTCAAAGTTATGGCAGCTGTAGACCTTGGCTTCTGAAAAATTGAAATGATGCACTGAACACTTCTCTCAACTTCTTCTTCTTCTCTCTCACTTACCTAGTGTATTTATATAACACTATGCATCTCATTAACTTGGTATCTTACTCTCCTGTAGTCTGTACTTCTCCTCCCTATCCTAATCTCAGCAGGTATCTTTGACTCTGGTGCTGCAGAATCCAGATATGCCGGGACTACTCAACCCTCATCATCCTAATTATCAGTGATGATCCGCATGATATCTCTCCCTCTCTCTCTCTCATCATGTATGATTTAGCGCTATATACCTGAAAAAAAATTATGTTGTCTGTCTTTCAATGATATGAAAAACCAAATGTATACACTAGAAAATGCACACGCACACATTCCCACGCACATGCTCTCAGGACACAGCTCCAGAAAGTCTCGCATTTGGATAATTATGTCTGATCAGTCAAACATATAACACAACAGTCCACACAACAGGAAGCAGTTAAATAAAGCCATAGACTATGGACAACACCTCAATGGAAACAGCCCCATAAACTTTCCAAGAATGTTTCTTTCGAGAAAATGAGGAAAAAGAGGCCACATATGTAATCATCAGGAGCTTAAGTGAAATCAGAGCTTGACTGATGCATCAGCAGGCCAATATTATTGGCTGATATCAGGTCATGATAGACAGAGCCACCTCCAGCTGACCATCCAATCATAAAGTTGTAACAATGGAATAAAGCGTGTATGTAAAGCCAGAAAGTGAGAGAGTGTATCTGAACAAAAATCCTCATCTTACCTCCAGCGATGGCAGTTTTCTTGCCCACCGTCACAGTGACTGCAGTGGTAGAGATCACGATCCGCCCTGCTGGGAGAGCAACACACAAAATTAGCTTGAATCGATTAATTAATCAACACATGCATATAGAAGCATGGGGGCATGCATGCACATCACAAGTACACAAATAGCCCTGGACACATGCATGAGCATATGTGCACATACAAAGTGAAAAGGAAAATATTCAGAGAGATATTTATTTTTACACATAATGAATGCATCTTTTCTGAGCACTCACAGGGATAGTGACAGCTAAAGGGCAGATACGCCAAAAATGTGTTTGAAAGTATGAGTAACAAGAGAGGTAAAATTTAATGAAGTCATAGATTCTCTGTCTGTGCGTCTATTCTAAGCCTTCATACGAGCAGATGCCAACTTTCACCAAGCCACAGATTCCATCTAGGTTATAAGCATTATGTAATACAGATTATAACAGGTAATATACTCACACTCGATAACAGAAGGATTTTAGTTACTATGATAGTAGAGATGTGTCGTCGATCTTTATAAACAGTCTATGATCTGTTATACATCCCTTCAATGCCTGCATAACAGCCATGAATTTATAAACTATGTAATGGGATTAATTATACTGTAACATACAAACAAGGAAAACTATAATCACAACAAATGAAGAAACAAAATCCTGACTTTCCAAAAATTCATGGAATCAGTCTAGTACAAATGATCCAAAGCCTTACTGACTGCCTAAGAGAGGAGAGGAGGTTGTCATATTTTAAACTGCATGCTCATGCAGTGACCAAAAGATAGAGAGAAGGAGGAATGAAACAGAGAAACAGAAAGAGAAGAAAACTCTTAAAATCAAAGATGACTAAATGGAAAACAGTGACCCAGCACTCCCCATGCTTGAAATCAGGAGTGAGGAAGAAGATAACAAGGATTATTAAAAAAGAGGAGGCATGCCAAGTATCAGTAAGTTTTCCTATACCCTCCTCTTCCTCCTCATCCTCCTCTGCCCTCCTTCGTTTTCTCCCTCCCTCCTCTGCTTGGTGCTCCACCTCCTCAGCACTTAAGGTTGCGCTATAGTCAGCCTCATAGTCCCTGAACACATCTGAGCACAACACACTGTATTTACCGTCACTCTAATAATTATTAGGGACTATTTTATGTTTGAATGTCTAACATTAATGATAATTAATAAGGTTGGTATAATAATGTCTCATT